TAAGTAATTTTTAAAAGGGTCTAAGGTCTTTCCGGTAAAAAAAGAGGTTTTGAAAAGGGTTTTTTTTTATAATAAATCATTAAATTAATTATTTCTTACGTTATTACCTTTATATTTATTTAATTTTTATTGTTATTTATTTTATAATTTACTTAAATATATAAAGATTTTTATAATCGAGTAATTAGCCCGTTGGTGACATTACAAAGAACTTGGTCCTTTGCCCTGGTAATCGAGTAATTAGCCCGTTGGTGACATTACAAAGAACTTGGTCCTTTGCCCTGGTATATCAACGCTTTAAATTTTTTATAATCGGAATCGATCGATTGAGCAAAAGTTCACCCGCGCATGTTGTTCCTTGTATCGCTTGCTAAGTAGGAAAGAGGGGGGGTGGGGTGATAGTAAAGGGTACATTGCTATGCAATTGAAAGAAAATAAAGATTATTTGCTTATTAATGTACGTTTTCGGGGACGGTTTCAAGTTCGAGGACGGCCTTAAGACGGCCTTAAGACGGCCATAAAACGGCTACAAAACGGTCTTAAAACGGTCTTTTCATAAAAAGACCGACTTTTATAAACGACTATTTAATCGATCAAAACAATCTTATTTTAATAATAATTTTTTAACGAAAAGACGAGCTTTTATAAAAAACGAATTAATCGATTAAAATAGTTTTATTTTAGCTACGATTTAAATAATTTAAATCGTTTGTTTTCAGATTCTACTCAATTTTAAGTATCGGCTTAAGGTGATCTACTAGCTATGCCAACCTCTTGAAACCGTCTTTTAAAGAGACCGTCATCGGATTGTCAGCTGACGGTTTAAATAACCCCTTATCTGCCTTTAAGGTAGTTATTGATTCTAAATTATTACTTTAAGATCCTTCTGAGCTCTTATATGAACCCCGCGCTCTCGTGAGTTCCTTTAGGTAATCGCTTAAGGTCGTCAAACGGTCATAGATAACCGAAATTAATATAATTAAAACCACCTTCTGCTTCCCCATCATTAAGAAGAATTATCTTCTTACAGGATCCTTCAAATTCGAAAGTTGCTATAAAGGTAAGTTAGGATCTTAAGTATATATCGGAGGTATACTAAAGGTGGAATTAATGACTTTAAATATAGAATCAAAAGAATATAGATTATATTATGCTTATGCCTATTTGTATTCCAGTTCTAAAGTTTGTATGCTTTCCTTAACAAACCTCTACATGATCCGGCAGTGGTGCTCGACGAAGCAATTTTGCATGCGTTCATCGCGATCCGGGCTCGGATCTCTACCAGATGCAAGCCTTGTTCCTTCTGCCATCTCTATTGGGAAATCTTCTTGTCCTGCTCAAGTAAGCGCCGCAGTCGATACTCCTGGGCCCTTCTCCAGATGATTATCATCGTTTCCTCTCTTGTCCCTGCACACTCTCCTCTCTCGTTGCTCCATTGGCCCTCATCTCCAGTTCCTTAATCTTCTTCTCGAGGCCCAATCTTTTGGCAATCAATGCACCTCGTTGTTCCTCGAGCTGAGCGATCTTGTCGGCAGTTGTCGCCTCGCGGGATTTCTCAACCTTCTGAACGATATATCAGCATTGCGAGGATAACATGCAGGCTCGACGGGATACTCGAGTAGCGTACCTGCTTGATCTCGGACCGAGTCTTCAGCCCAGCCCCATACCAAGCTCCGGTCGCTGTCACGGCAGCTATGGCTCCAGTCCAGACAGTTCGGCGGATCTTCTGCTGTTGTGCAGAAGCCATGTCTTTCCGATGTTATCAAAGGCAGCCCAGCCCGTTCTGAATCCTCGTCGTCGCACAGTAGGTACCGGTACTCCACGGTCGTTGTCAAGCGTCAGGCGCAGGGAGGTCAGAGCTTGGGGGGCTGCCTGGGCGGGTCGTGCTGCACCCACCACCAGCGCTCAACCCCAGAACTCTCTCCAGGTCCGCTCTGCCAGCCTATCCTTCAGCACGCTGCCTTCCTGCCGCTTCCTTCTCACTTCGTCCTGTTCTCTTCTGCGCGAGTAATCCCACGGGCGCAGTTCGGTGTCCGTCGTGTCCGTGGTGTCCGTCGATGAAGATGCAGAGACCACGGATCCCCACGACGTTCTGCGCGAGAGCGGTAGGGGTGGCAGGTGTGGCAGGTGTGGATCTGTTGTGGAAGAGGGAGAGGCGACGGAGCTGGCCGCAGATGCAATGATGTGAAGGGATGAGGTGAGCAAGCGGAGTGCAGCGTCGGCCATTTTCTTCACTTTTGCTTCAGTTCGAATTCGTAGTATCCTACATGTAGGTATTGGTCAATATTGGTATTGCCGTGCCCGGGAGGGGTGAGAAGCTGAGGAGGTGAGGAGGTGAGCTCAGGTACCTTTCTTTATACGGGGAAAGGGGGTGGGTTTTTTTTCCTTTGTCTTTTTGACGAGAGGAGAAACAAAGGGAAAGTTGCAAAGATAGTATTACATTTGCTGTACTTCTATCGTTTTGCAAGCGCATCGAAAACAGCACACCAGGCGGGCCTTTTTGGTGGGGGCCGGGTAGGGTGGGCAGCAGCATCATAACCATTCGCCATCACTCCCTCTCGGGTTCCCGTTTCAAGCTGCCCTCTCCAAACCTCAACACGGTGGTTGTTGATACTGTTTTGCGACTGATACAGTTCTGCGACTGCGAGTGCAACTCGCTTCAGACTGTTGACCAGACCATTCGAACCTCGGAAACAAACACCAACCATGACCACGCCCCGCGTCTTCATTGTGCGTCATGGCGAGACGGAATGGTCGTTGAATGGCAGGCATACGGGCACCTCCGACATCCCCTTGACTCCAAATGGGGAGAAGAGAATCATTGCCACTGGAAAGGCCTTGGTCGGGGACGATCGATTGATTGTCCCGAAGAACTTGGCACACATGTTCATCCCCTCTCCTTTTGCAGGATTCAGGTCCAATTCTAAGCTTCAGCTAGCTACGTCTCCCCAAGAACACGCGCCCAAAGAACCCTCGAACTCCTCTACCTAGGCTGCCGAGCCAAACTGCCATGGCAAGAGAAGCGACCGGTCGGTGACGGAGACATTAGGACTGAGGCCCATGTTCAGATCACAGAAGACATTCGGGAATGGGACTACGGAGATTATGAGGGTATCACAAGTCCGCAGATCAAAGAGATGAGGAAGAAGGCGGGATTGCCTCCTTGGGATATTTGGCGCGACGGATGCCCGGGAGGAGAGTCAGTCCAAAGTCCCCCCCCCCGTTAGGTTGCTGCTTCACACAATGGAAGTTGATGGACCGCACAGATCCCCAGAGGAGGTCACCTACCGATTGGACCGCCTCATCAAAGAGATTCGGGAAAAGTATCATGCCTCAGTCATTGGCCAGCCGAAGTGCAAGACGCCACCCGGAGACGTCCTGCTAGTAGCCCACGGCCATATCTTGCGAGCTTTTGCGATGCGGTGGGTAGGCAAAACGCTCCAGGACGGACCGACATTCTTGCTTGAGGCTGGTGGCGTTGGGACTTTGAGCTACGAACATCACAGCCTGGATGAGCCAGCCATACTGCTGGGTGGTAGCTTTATGGTTGACGCCGTGGAGATGGGAGAGGAATTGGGGAAGAAGGAAGAAATGAACCTTCTAGAGAAAAATTGAACAAGCTTTAGGAAGCAATTAGAAATAACGACTAGAGATATATAGATAGTTGAACGATAGACTTGCTGAGTAACGGACTTTAATGGGAATTCGTGCCAGCAAAGGTTCAGCGATCGGTAGATGGTTCATCTAATCCGCTATAATCGTGACATCGCTCGCTCTCAAATGGTCAAAACTCCCCTCGCTACTGTTCCCGCTCAACTCCTTCTCACTATCCTCAATGTCAAAAATCTTTCCCGTGACCATCACACCCCCCTTCGCCAACTTCTCTCTACGAACTTCACACTCCTCTAATGCCAACCTCGGCCCATCGCCCATGATAAATCGTCGATGCCACTCGCCCACAAACATACCTTCAGGATCCGCATTAGCCCGGATCTTCCTCCACTCCTGCAAACGCTCGCCATACATCTCTTCGATATCGTGGCTCGTGCACTCGAAGTTCTTCGCCCAATGTGGCTTCCCGCCAAGTTCTCGCATCAGGAACTCGAAGCCTTGATAATATCTGAACTGGCACGGGGGGTCTGCATCTTTCGGACGGTAGAGAGTAGCGTTGAGGTAGAGCGTGGCTTCCTCGGTGCAGGTTGGGTCGAGGTGTGGACGGGGAGTGGTCGAGTTCGAGGTCTCGGTTACACGAACTTCAACGGGGGCGTGCACGTATAGGCCGTCTGCGGAGTAAGGAATCCCATGGGGGACGTAGTCTTGGTCCGAGGGCGTGAGGTGGTTCAGCCATGAGCTGAGACGACGGAGGGCTTCGGGACCCTTACTTAAGGGAATCGCCCACTCATTGACGAACTGGCTGTACAGGCAGTTCATGAGGAGAGCTTCCCGCGATTTCTGGATGGCGCAGGTCTTCGAGCCGGCGGCGAAGCCGTACTGCATACCAAAAACAAACCATTCGATCCATGGGAGAGCTGACGGCACATATTGTGAAAAGTAGAGGAGGTTGTGGTAGACGGTGTATCCGAGCCAGTCACCGTAGTAGCTCTTTGGGGGCGGCTGCGGAGCCAATTCTGTCTTTTCGGCGGTCCACACTACAGCGCGGCGGGTGTATGGGAACCACCATACTCGTACGAATTCGGTCTGTGTCCAGAGTTCCTTCTCCCACGAATCTAACATCTTCCGGTCCGAGTCGACAACCTGTTGCCAGGCCAGTGTAAATGCCGGCACGGCTTGGAAAGTGATCTCGACGATGATGCCCAAGGCTCCCAGGGAGATGAGAGCTGCCCGAAAGAGATCCGGGTTTTGGGATGGCGAGCAGGTTTCCGTCTTGCCATTCGCCAAAGTGATCTTCAGAGAGAGGATCGACTGAGACAAGATGCCATGGCGAAGCGTACTTCCATGCGTCCCCGTGGAAATGGCACCAGCTATGCTCTGCTGGTTGATGCTGCCCAGGTTGGGCATAGCCAGGCCAAGCTTGTCCAGCTCCTCGCCCACGGTGAAGAGGCGTATGCCGCTCTGCATGACGACCACACAGCTCTCCTTGTCGACGTTCAAAATCCGATTGAAATTGTCGAGGTTAACAAGCCACGACGAGGTGCATGTCATGTCTGAGGGCGAATGCCCGCATCCGACGGTTGTCAGGCGACGCCGGCATCGTCGCGCGAGGTGCACCAGCTTCTCGACTTCTTGGATCGACTGAGGCTGGACATATAGCTCGGGGGAGGAGTGGAAGGTACGGGCCCAGGTCGACTGGGTATGATTTCTCACTGCTCGAAAGGGGATATCGTCTTTGAACTCGTGTAGAGCGGTGGTGATGGCAGGGTCCATCTCGGCCGGCGGTGGATGTGAAGATGGGTGGGTAGGTGTACTCTCGAGATGCGGCTAAGTGCCTTTAAATGAGAAGGTGAGTTGATGAGAAGAGAGGAGAGGAGAGAAGAGGAATCTCATCCTCTGCGATAGTGGAAGGGCATCATAGGCATGTATATAAGGGAGCCGACTGTTGAGACAAAGACCACAACGCCCCCGCGGGGTTGTGGAAGAGTCGAGTCGAGTCGAGTCGAGTCAAGTCGAGTCCGGGTCGAGACAGCCAGACAGTCTGACCGCCTTTCGGGGGAACGACTGAATCGTGTCCACCCGAGCCCGTCGATATTCCAGACATTCTGTGAGAGCCGATGCATCAAAACGATAAAAAAATATCCTGCAGTCAACGAAGTTTCTCGGTCCCGGGTTGAAGCGAACGGTTGATCGACGCATGGGTACAGAGTCGATTAGGTTGTAAAAAGGTACGGAAGTGCTGACTAATCACTCTCCTTGGGCAACATAGGCAGTACCGGTACCGGTATATATAGGTACAGCATGTACTGTACCTGTATATCCAATAAACACACCTCGCCTGTCGCGGGTAGGATTGTAAATACGGTGAATTCAGTGACCCAAAACTTTCCTGCCCTCTCCTCTTCCTACCTGAGAGCGAGAGCCGAGTGGTAATCGAGTAACCTTCCGATAAGGCCCATCCACCACCGCTTGATGGTCGTCGAGATTGGTCGAGCTGAATGAAATACATACGTAGCCGATGTAAACAAACATGGTGTTCCGCCCCTCGAGTCCCGACTCATGGGGAGTAAGAGTATCCCATTCGCATTCGAATCTTGCAATAGGTAGCTTCCTACACGTCTCCTTTGCATTTGGCCTTTTGCATTTGCGGTCATCTTGGAGGGGGGATATCAATCTCACTGGACAAGGATCATCGAGGCTGAACTCAGATTCGATGTCCTATGTACGGCCACTTCCACAAGGGACTGGCTAGCCAGCGTCCCTTTCGGCCAGCCCGGAAGTGCACAGCGGCGTACCTCTTTTGCAAGATGCACACGATAACACTTTATTCGCATGAAGGACCTCTCCATGATCGCCCAACGCGGTGGCTTCTCCCGAAATATGATGCCCCTTGGAAAGCCCAGGCGGACGATGGGGTAATATCCGCCTGGTATTAAGAGAGAATCTCAGGATCGACTTGCACGGCAGCCCACCACTTCCTCGAAGTAATCGTTTTGTTCGACAAAAAATCAACTCAACAATGCTCCATGTCGCTTTGCGGCCTGCGCAGACCCCCGCCTCTACGTCCGAGACGAGAGGCAAAGCAAGACAAGGGAAAAGGCAAGGAAGAGCCAGTACTCCTCGATGGGTGCGGCGATGCGGGTCTCATCACGGTCGACGAGGATAAATATATATACGACTCGGAACGGAACGAGCAGCTACGAATTCGCAAATCCTCGCCGGACTTTGAATTCGATTGGGAGCGAGAAGACCAGTTGAGTACTATCCTGGAGAACCTCGAAGACGGCGGCAGCCAGAGAGACGGAAGTTCCGACGGCCACCCAACACCACCACCTCCTGTCACGCCCACCACTCCAGAAACCGAGCCGAGAAAGGCCCGCGGCTTTCGACCTCGGACGAAAAGGACTCGCTTTGAAGAACGCCTCTCGAGCCCAGCAAACAATCCGAAGCAATCGCGAGCAGCAGCGAATATGTCGTCTATAATGTCCGGTCGTAGGACGCCCGAGACCCCGCGCCCTATTGCGGCCCCACCAAGAGATGTGAGTGTGTGAATATCAACACCAGAGATGAAGACCCCGTAGAGCGACGACGACGTTGCCGCGGGAAGAAGCAGGGCAGGATGGACGGATGCATAGATGAATAGACAGATAGACGGATAAGTGGAAAAAGGATGCAAAGATGGAAAAGCTAATGAATGCCGTCTCACAGCTCGAATCGATAGCCTACATCGACAAATCTCTCGTCTTTGAACACTTCACCACGAACGATGCGTGGGAGCTGGGATCTGCGCTGCGAAACCGTCTGCTACCCATCCCCACGCCCGTCGTAATCAACATCGCCCTGGCGAACCAGAACCAGGTCCTCTTCCACACCTGTACACATCCTGGCGTGATGCCAGACAATGACAATTGGGTTTCGAGGAAGCGGAAGACGGTCCTGAGATGGGGCTGTAGTACGTGGTATATGCACTGCAAGTTTGAGGGCGACGAATTCGCATTTCGCGACAGGTATGGCTTGGGCAACAGTGCTGGGGAATATGCTATCCACGGTGGCGGAGTTCCGATCAGGGTCACAGGCGTCGAGGGGGTTGTTGCTGTCGTTGTCGTAAGTGGATTGAAGCAACATGAGGATCACGGTGTCATTGTCGAGGTTATACGGGAGTTGTATTATTAACGAGGGGATATCGGATATGTTAATACCAGGCCGGAGCGAGCGCGTGTAGAAACTCCCACGAGGACATGTTGATTTACATAGCGTGGGATGTCGGGAAGATTCATGTGACCTATACCTCCCTTTTGTACTGATTAATCTGTTTCCTCACTTTCGTAAATATATTGCAGCTATCTCTCGATTCACATACACTTTATTTCTTCTCTGGTTTTTTATTGATTCACGCATTTCTATCTCGAGTCTGTTTGTATCTTCGGACCAGGTGTGGAGAGTGGTGGACCAGTGTTGGTTCAGCGAGCCGATCAAAGTGTTCGTTTCTGTCTTTGGGGGCGTGCCGTGTTATGATCGTTGGTTTGCCTTATCCTGAGGTGCATGTTGATATTGTCTTCGTATCTAGTTTTCCAAATTCGACGCTCCGAGCCAGGCAGGATCATGTTCCTATTGCCGTACTCGCTGTGATGAGGCTTTCAGCTACTGTGATTTACTACAACTTCAAGCCTATGATGGGAATAGGCAGATGGCCAGTCAATACGATCCTGCAGTATTGGGACCAGATGCCTCGCTAAATCTGCTGATGAATGGGTTGATTTGGTGATTCGGAGTGATTTAGGATTTTCTTCTATTTTTGACGCCCCGTAATTTTCTTATCACATACTTACCTTCTTCACTGCCGGTAGCTTTCAGCCAGCCCAGCGAGAGTACCTTCTATCTCCACTATCAAGAGTCGCATAAATCAACCCTCCCATTCAACTCTTCAAGCACTTCCTGTCGTTTGCAACTAGTTCCTTACGCGACAGGCGTGATGGGCTACGTGGAGGGGTGACATTGGGGGTCGCCCAGCTCTAGACTTGGGGCCAATACTTCAGCATTTATTTTGCACTGCTCATCTCGAACGCCTTTTCCTATCATGCGCCGTATTGGCCTATTGTCAGCCATCTCGGAAGGATATTCACAGCTGCAAGGCAGCTAAAAGCTCCAGCAAAGGCGCCCCCCCCCCCCGAGCCTAAACAGCCATATGGCTCGCGAGCTCATGTCCCTCCACAAGGTCCAGGATGTATTCCAAGTGAAAGGTACGCTTAGGACTCATCTTTCAAAATGACGAGTAAAAACGCTGTTCAGGAATATGAAGCATATGCTCAGATATATTGCGGACATCATACAACCATCACAGAAGCCTGTACCTGCAGAGGAATCAAGAAAAAGGTTCGAATGTGTCAATGATCATGGCAGCAATTATAGTTCCTGATCAAAGATTGCCTGCATATAAACATTGCTGTCTATTGAATATTGGCGGGACTGCATATACCGCTCTGCTCCACAAACAACCCTACCTATAGCTTCACCCCCTTGGCGAAGAACAAACTCCTGTTATTCTTCTTCTCGTTCTCCGAAAACACAAACCCATGCCCAATCACCTTGTATTCAAACTTCGCACCCACGCCAGCATCCTCAAACATCCTCTTCACGTCATCCTGCGAAAAGCCATTATGGGTAACCGTATGAGCAGCCGTATGGCTATGATCACTATGCCCTCTGTTTAAATCAGCTCTCCTTCTCATCGAACCAGCAACGAAGTACTAGACCTACGAAACATGAGAATGTGGCACGAAGTCGATGATCATCAGCACGCCACCCTTCTTCAACCTCTCCGCCAATCTCTTCGCTGCCAAAGCGGGATCGTCAAAATGATGGAACCCTAACCCCACAGCGGCGATGTCAAAGTCGAAGAACTCTTTCCCCGCAAGCTCTGGCGGGTTGGGGTTGTTTGCGTCTATAAGATTGCCACGTGTGGCGTGCATTTCGGATTCTGAGATGCCTTGGTTCAGGGCTGCGGTGTTGTATTCGTGCACCATGCCCTCAGTGAGGTCGATACCGATGCTTTGAGTGATATAGGGTGCGAGTGCCTGTCCAATATGTCAGAATTCCCGACCTTTGCCTAAAGGGAGGAAGAAGGGCGACCAACACGTGATACCAGACCAGTTCCGCATGCATAGTCTAGCAATCGCACAGTCTTCTTCGGTGCCACCGACGAATCTTCGTTCTCAGAGCCTGAAGAGTCTTCAGCCCAGTCTACACCGATCCATTCATGATGCTTTCGAATCTCGTCGATGACTTGCTGAAAGGTTTTAGCGAACCTAGAATTGTACGTTGAGGACGCCTCACTACATTGAATAGCAGTCAGCAATGACCCTGTCTGATATGAAGCCTATTTCATACAGGCGAGAAACTGTAACAGTAGAAGAAACCTACTTCCAGTGGGCGTGGTTACGCTGAGTGCTTTCGGACATTTCTTCTATCTAACAAAGCTGAAGGCGTAGGTACGTAGTTAAATATCATGAAGGTAGAGATGGGGGTGATGGGGGTGGTGGAGGTGACGGAGGTGATGGAGGTGATGGTGGTGATGGAGGGCCGGCGTCAATGAAAACCAACTCGCTTAACTCCGGGTACTTCTCGCCTACTTATACCCTAGACTCTAGCTGTCCAATCAGAGGCAGCCCAGGTCAACATACATGTACCTACTCGAGACATGGGCTGAAGAGACCAGAGGAATTGACAAGGCACAACTCATACGTGTGAGCAGCCTGGTTTAGTAGCAGTAAATTATCAGATCAGCGCCCGTTCAAAAGCAAGCAGATGGACGAATGTGCTCAAGTATTTGATATCAATGATCTATTGACTCTCAGCACCCATTCGATCTATCAATGACACACCACACCAATTTTGCTCAAATTGCGCCGACAAACGCCTCACCATGCATGAATCTTCTCATACGTCGTGAAAGGTTATTCCGCGGTGCCCTCGGCTGATGGTAAGGGGATGGCCTTGTAGAGCAAGATCAAAGCAGAGTGAGACTCTCCGCCACCAGAGAGGGTGACAATCTTGTCCGCCTCAACTTCCGAGACCTTGTCATCGTTGAACCACCACCAATTTCCATCTTCCTCGCCTCTTTTTCCGGTCTTGGGATCAAGCGGACCTTGCTTTTTGACATAGGCAGTATAATGACCACTGTCTGCACTAGCACCCTGGTGAGTGACTATTCCACGAAGCTCATAGAGTCCTGACGTATTGGACCCATCATCTGCAAGCAGGTCAGGATGGATCATAGCATGGAGCTCCTTTTTGGCCTCGAGGACAGCGGCAGCTTTCTCGGCATCGATTTCGGCGTCGGTCTTGTAGACGACATCTTCCATGACAGTGTCTTCACCAGACGCAGCCTTGCTGTCCTTCTTGGCATCTCCCGTCTTCTTTTCGTCGGCTTTCTTAGATTCCGATGCCGAGTCAACGATGCCTGCAGCCTCGTCGGCAACCGCCTTATCGTGTATCTTCTTTTGGCGTTTACGAGCTCTCTCAATATCCTCCTCGTCCTTACGTACCTCACGGACCTTGTCTCGGACTGGAACCAGCATCTTCTTGAGCTCATCTGTGCAAAATTCCACAACATCCAGCTCGTCCGGGAAGGTTACCTTGCGCATGATCTTTGCTTTCTTTTGAGCCTCGCGCTTCCAGAAGAATCGAACGAAATGTACCGTCAGATACTTTGGCAGACGCGCGATCTTGGACTTTTTGGTATACACGGCATTTCTGCCGAGAAGTTCCGAATTCTTCTCCAGCTTCTCTTCCAGACCAGCCAAGATGCCGTCTCTCAAATGGTTTGTTGTTCCACTGATATGGCAATCGAGCTTCAGAAATGCGACTTCAGCATTCACCGGTTCCTCTCCGAGATCCTTCGCGGCCTGCTCATCACATTCAGTAATGGATGAAAATCTTCCAGCCATGTACTTATCGACAAATGTAGTTTCCTTTGATCCATCCTTGATCATCAGCTTCTGACGCAGTTGCGAAACTATCTCCGACCAAGCTTCTTCAGCATCTTGTTGGGCAAAGCCATGGCCATTCTTAGCCTTCTCAGCGAAACGGGGAAATGCGGTACGTAGGGCGTTGAGGAAGGCCAATGGCGGGAATCCGTCTTGAGTTTTTCCCATCTGTGTATACAGGTCCCGAAGAGCTGCTGTAAGATCCGCCGAGGCTCCTAAGCCACCCAGTCCGAACATACCGAGATCCCCTAAGCCAGATGGGCCCGCGCTACCAGGAGTGGGAGCAGCGGTATAACTGGCCAATTGTTGTTGCAGCTCGGGAATCGCTCGCAACGTCTGCAAAGCCGAGTTCATATAGCAAGTGTTCCCCAGATTTTGTAGACCAGCAGGCGTGGCACCAACTTGTTGAGCGGCCTCAGCTTCAGTCATATCCTCCACGAACTTGATCGCCTCCTTGGGTCGCTGGAGAACACCTGCACCAAGGGGTGTGCCCATCATCATGAACGTCTGGCCCGGCTTCGCGCCGAGTTTTGAGAGGTCCGTATCATCCTTGAGTTGTCCTCCCTTCACGAGAATTTTTTGCCGCTCTGGTTCAACACCAGTGAGGGAGAATAGTTGGTACTTGAACGTTTCACCGAGTGATGTAGGGTCAAGGTCAACTTCGTACTTCTTGCCCTGATGCTTGACGATGACTGCAAAATGTTAGCAAGCAACTACAATTTAGAGCACAGGGAGGGCTTTACCTGGGATAGACATAGCTCCTAGCTGGTATTTTCGTTGTTTCAAAACGAGCCGGCACTTTGGAAATGTTTGTAGTGGCCTCGGGGTCCAAGGCGGTGGGGGGAAGTTCTCGTCTAGAGAAGCTTGGAATCACCGATCGTAGATTCTTTGCGGAGGGGAATTTTCAATGTCGGCCCAGGATACGCCGCACAGGGAGTTGATCAGACAAGTGATCCGAAGAGGAGAGATGGAGAGGATGTGTGGGAGAAGATGGAGACCGAGACGCAAGGCGCCTACAGTACTTAGCGTGACTGAGGACCGGCAAGCGATGCCTGCCTCCTAACGCCGAACTTCAACCCCACCAAAGCGACGACGGGGTCTAGACAACGGCAGCAGTCAATCAACTCCACAACGAACACCATGGTGAGCTCAAGGACCCTACCTCCAGTTCTCGATTTTCTGCTAATCTGCCGCAGAGTACATCACTGAGGCCCTATCTGCAGTGCGTCAGGTCGTCCTTGACCAGCGCGCTTTGTCTTTCCAGTAATCCCCCCTCCCTGATATAGATATATCTCTTGCGCATCGCTCATTCAACAGACTTCGGATCGCAGACCAGTGAACGGCACAATTGTCCAGAAGTGGAGGCCCAGACATCTCCCGAGGTCCTGCTGAATCCTTTGACCGTCGCCCGGAACGAGAACGAGCGAGTCCTGATCGAGCCGAGCATAAACAGTGTGCGGATCAGCATCAAGATCAAACAAGCAGACGAGATAGAGCATATCCTGGTCCACAAGTTTACGAGGTTTCTCACGCAAAGAGCAGAGGCCTTTTTCATCCTGCGGCGAAAGCCGGTCAAGGTAGGTTGGGGATGGATTGATCATCAGAGACCAAACTGACAATGCCAGGGCTATGACATTTCATTCCTGATCACGAACTTCCATACCGAGGAGATGCTGAAGCATAAGCTGGTGGATTTCATCATACAGTTCATGGAGGAGGTCGATAAGGAGATTTCGGAAATGAAGCTATTCGTGGGTATTTGTCTGCTTTCTAGTCAGAGATCACTACTGACAAGCGTGTAGCTAAATGCACGAGCAAGATTCGTAGCAGAATCCTTCTTGACACCTGTGAGTAACTTCAGCTTGTGGTGGCCGTTTGTTACTGATGCCGCATTAGTTCGATTAAAAGCGACATTGCGGTTGGGGTGTGGTGCTTTGCTCGGTGGTTGCAGGTCTTCAGCACCGAATGGATCATGCGGCATTTGGGAAATTAGAAAGAAGACAAGATCCAGTGATCAACTCAGTATCACAAATGAAATAAATTTGTGGGCGGATGTTATCTCACATCACCTTTCATCCTGTGGTGTCAAGCCTGGCATGGGCAAGTTGTCCTTGTCACAATTGCTGAATTGCTCACGGGCGGTACTGTTATCACTGGTCAAGCACGTTTCGATTGATTGGGCGGTCTGAGGAGAAATAGAATATTCGATGCAATACTTCTACTCGCGATAAGACACTTCGTCAATCCATTCCTTCATGCCAATAATTAACACCGTCGACGTCCACAAAAGATAGATTTCGGCAATCGTTTGAACAGCCTCTATGCCTCAACCAATCTCGCTCGACTCCAGCACGTTGCATCGGTGATGTACTCTCCCTGGATTTCCTCGAGCGATGCTTCGATGACATCAGTATCTTGATTATCAACGCTGACGTTGGCCATCCATATCAGACAGCGCGAAGTCGTAGAGCGACTGGGTAACTATAGACAATACTGCCTGTCGTGGAGTTGGCCAGCATGAGGCTTGCACTTCTTCGCCTGTGTAACGCATCAGCGGCCGTACACTTTGTAGCCGTCAAGGACGTTGTAAGCGATACATACAGTTGATGGATAGCTTCAGGAGAGTGAGTAGGGGAACAAGAAGACACTCTCCCCGAAATGTTACTTACATACTTCTCGTGATCTCGCGGAGAGATTGATATGTCGATGAGGGCGGACGAGAGGAATAAGAAGAGAACGGCGCAGCAGAGATTACCCGTAGGCAGATATCTCGGGAACTGGCAAGCATTTAGCTGAGATTTAGTAGGGAGGTACCTAGAATAGATGATTGGGGTAGATGGATATAAGAATACTCATAAATAGTCATATTACGAGTTTGTAATATCAGACTGATCGACTTATAGGTACCTACTTACGGAGCTTGAATAATATATTATATGTACTACCGAGTACACCCAGCCCACGTGCGTGACGCACAGCCCATCAGACCCTAGGACATGGCCCTGGGTCAGTCCCTGGATCTGTCGATGTCATGGGTGATATACATAAAGTATCCAAGACCAAGACCGAAGCTTGTCGGTACCTACGATAGCACCACCTACGATAGCAGATGGTGAAACCTGCTGCTGGCTCTCCTTCAACTTTTTGAGCTATCTATCTACGGAATACTTGGTCTCTCTTTCTCTCTCTTCGTCTCCTCTTCCTCTTCCTCCTCCTCCTCTTCTCTCCCTCTCCCTATCTCTCTCTCCCTCGAACTCGTCTTCTCTCAGCCCCCCTCTGCGCTATCCTGCGCCGCCGAATAGAACCCAGCGACAAACAAAGGACGCATCGGATACCATGTCCAGCCCTGGCCCCGGCCCCTCAGAGAACGGCTCGGCTCTGCCTCTGCCTTTGCGACCAGCCTTGAGAGATTTGGACGAGGCGCAAAGCCCAAGGAGCGGTCCAGTGAAAGGTAAGACATGCGCGTGTGGTATCATGCTCACATCCATACGACAACCAACCAACCAACCAACCGAACCATCCATCTACTATAGCTAATTCGTCGTCTAACTACATAGTTGTTTCCATCGTCGAAGAGCCAGAAAGCATAACCCCTCTATCTGGCTCCGAGGACACAACTCGACCGAAGCAATTCAAAGCAGGTGTATCAGAGAGGAGGATGACGGGTCGACCAAGTTTCCATTCGAGCGCGTCCTCTAGGCTGTCGATAGTCAGCGCCGACGATTCAGTTCCTGCTTCCAACTCAACAACCTCTTTTCTTGCCCCAAAGCACCATGTACATCCTTCTAACCATGAGACACTGCACCACCATCACCACGAGCATCGCCACAAAAAGTTGCTGTCGCAGGTCGCGGAATGGCTACAAGCAGAGAAGGCCAAGAGGGCCGCGAGGAAGGCGCATAAACAAGGAAATGGGCCAGAGGATCGAGAAAATAGTAGATACGCTCGACCACGGACATCTAGCCAAAGCTCTGACGCCAGCGCTATCTCCCTAGAAAAGCTGCAGCAGATTCTGGAAGACAACATGAGCTCCTTTGGAATTGAGAACGTCCCTTCGACCTCTCCATCACCGGTCGCACGTCATCCAAGTCATAATTCACGAAGGCGGCCGTCAATGAGAAAGGCGTATGTGGGAAGCTCTGATACTGAATATCAGGACGGTGATGTGGTATTGCCCTCGTGCGATGTGGTACTGGATAATTCGAAGACCATGTCGTACGGAGGCGGGGCTTCGGATTCGGCCATGGAAACAGTGACTCTGAGCAACAGCAAGAAAGCCGAGAAGGAACGTAAGGCTTGGCTGGCGTTCAAGGGTGAGATCTTACGCTTGGCACATACCTTGAGGTTGAAGGGCTGGAGGCGTGTACCACTGGAGCGTGGAGGTGATATTGAGGTCAAGCGCTTGAGCGGTGCTCTTACCAACGCTGTTTATGTTGTTTCACCACCTCAAGACTTGCCTACTCCAGAGGGGAAGGCTGGGCTGAAACCTCCTGCCAAGCTTCTTCTACGTATCTATGGCCCCCAGGTTGAGCACCTCATCGATCGCGAGAATGAGCTTTCCATTCTCAGACGTCTGGCTCGTAAAAGAATTGGTCCGAGATTACTCGGTACTTTCAAAAATGGACGCTTCGAGGAGTTTTTCAATGCGGAGACCCTGACGTTCGATGATCTCCGGATCGAGAGCACCAGCAAGCAGATTGCAAAACGAATGCGAGAATTGCATGATGGCATTGACCTACTTGAGAAGGAGAGAGAAGACGGGCCATTTGTCTGGTTGAACTGGGACAAGTGGGTTAACACTTGCGAGAAGATCATCAGCTATCTTGATAAGGAGATTGGTGGCGGCAAAGAGGTAAAGGGCGAGCTATGGCGATCAAGAGGATTGATTTGTGGAGTCGAATGGCCACAATTCAAGGCTGCTATTGACAGGTACCGTAAGTGGCTTGACAGCTACTACGGGAAAGGGGGAGTCTACCGGAGACTGGTATTTGCTCATAACGATGTAGGTTTCATCTCTGCTCTCATCCCAGCTCCTTCTAACTATTGGACAGACACAGTATGGCAACATCCTCCGCCTCGTACCTGAATCTCCAACCGTAGGATCAGCACCATCTCCACTGCTCCTCCCAGAGAACAGGCACAAGCAATTGATTGTCATTGATTTCGAGTACGCGTCAGCCAATACCCCGGGCCTGGAGTTTGCCAATCATTTCACTGAGTGGTGCTACAACTACCATGATGCCACCAGATCCTGGGCTTGTAATACTCAATCGTACCCAACGTTGGAGCAACAAAAGACTTTTATTCGGTCTTACCTCAATCACCGGCCGCAGTTCAACCCAAGGGCGTCCACAACACCCAAGTTGAACCCGTTGGAAGCATCTTCCAGAAATAGTATCTCGGACTTCTACCTTGACTCTCGAACCCCGGGCGGCAGCACCTCGGATTTCCCTTCTCCCAGCAACTACTTTGAGGAAGAGGCCAGCAGAGAGCACGAGACGGAACTTCAAGTCCAGGACCTAATTAAGGAAGTCCGCATCTGGCGTATTGCGAACAGCGCTCAATGGGTTGCATGGGGTATCGTGCAAGCTCAAGTTCCTGGTCTTGATGAGAGCGCGGAGCCGGTGGTTCCCAGTCCCGAGGAAGGCGAGGAGCCAGCGCCACTGGGAGATGCCAGTGTGAATGCGCCCAAAGAAGATTGTCAGGTCCACGGGGCGCTTGGTGAGGCCAAAGGTCTTGCCGGCGAGACGAAGACTGATGGAGGGGAGGAGGAGATAGAGGCAGCGGATGACGGAGAGGACGAGTTTGACTACCTCGCTTATGCGCAGGATCGGGCCTTGTTCTTCTGGGGTGATGTGGTCGGCTTGGGGATTGTGAAGAAGGAGGAGTTGCCGGAGGATCTGCTGAAGAAGTTGAAGATTGTCGAGTATTAGGTTCACATACGAGAGACAGGTTTCGGCATTTGCTCCGTGGAACCTAACTGAGCGGCGAGTGGGAAGTGGGTCTTTTCTCCGAGCAACGCTTATGACTGATGATGATGAGTCTGGTGTTAGGGCTGGTGGGTAGGTAGATAGCTTCTTCGATGCGTACCTAGAATATCCTTGCAGCGACTGAACGAATGTCCCTCGGTACTTACCTTTTTCCCCCCGACCGTCTTCTACATGCCACGACGGAGTGCATTTAAGTCAGAATGGCAAGTGCCTCCGAGCCTCCTGACTCCTGACCCTCAGCACGGAGGCGCGCGTCCTTTTTTTTTTTTTTTTTTTTTTTACCTTTCAGCTGCCGCGATTTGAACGGGACGAGCTTATGTTTTGGGGGGGGGGGCTGGGCTGGGCTGGGCTGGAAGTAAGGAGAGACAGCAAGGCGTAGGGAGTTGTGGTCGACGTGTTGGTGTTGGTCGGAAGGCTATGTCTATTACCGATCACAGATTTCAAGGGCGTACTTTCTTCTCGCTTCGAGGCTCCGGTGGTGCCGCCGGATCTGGCAAGAAATGCCAATGTCAATGCTGGCCGTCTCCGGGATGTTTTATCGAGCAAATACAATGCCCTGCGGGCCGAAGGGAAGGCAGCGAAAGGCCAAAGACAGGACGCAAAAGAGTCAGGGTCGGAGGGATGGGTGTCCTGGTGCATGGATACTGATGAGACGGGGGAAAACGCCAGAAGGAGAATGGGAATCCTCGACCACAATCGAGTTCTCGGCAAAGCTCTACTGCAGTCCCTACCCCTTCCCCTTCCCCAGCAGAGCAAAGCAAACTGCATGAAAGTTTTTTGCTCCAACGCCTGCAGATAGCAGATATATGCCTTTCTCGCAATCGGGCTTCAGAAGCGCATTGGTAAGTGCTAAAGTAGTACTTTTGCTTTAGATATCCCACAACCCGCGGGGTTACCTACTTGGTAAATGGCAGTACGAGCGTGATACGGGCTGGGCGGGAGGCTAGGTAGACTGGACCCGGACTGTGGGGTGGGTGGTGAGGATGAGGCCACAGGGTGTCAATACGGCATCTGTTTCCAGCTTGTTTCTGTGGCTGCCGGAGAATTCTTCAGTAGGTTAGAAGCCACCTAGATATAGGTTTTCATATATGTGTCTACGTACGGAGTATGTGTTTGTATATTTACTCGTGTATTCACTGGCCCGTGATCTCGGGTCATAATGACTCGCCGTCGCACCTACCTAGAAGTATTTGACTCAATAGCCTTAGTCGGTAGCTTGTGCTCGGTTGTTGACTTGTTGACTTGTCGGTTGCATCTCGGTACACGTGACACAGGTGACACCGTGACAAACGTGACACCCCCACAAGCAATGACAAGCATCCACAAGCTTAGCCCGGCGCCAATGGATCCCAGGCCCCGCCAAGGAAAATCGTCAGTCAGCCTTCCCTTCTCTTTCTCCTTCACTTCCATTCATTCCCCTTCGCTGCTCCAAGCAGAGGTTCGTTCCCAACTCCGACCTCTGTATCTCTCTCTCTATCTCTCTCTCTCTCACTCTCTCTCTCCGTCTCTCTCTCTCTTTCTCTCGCTCACCACCACCCTAAGGCACGCACGACACTCGTTCAATGATACGGAGATCTCTGCTCAGTCCCCTCTCTAATACACCGTCTTCCTTGGAAGTTGAATGCTGTTGGATGTCCGAGCGCTTCCCCCCCCCCCCCCCCTCACCCATTCAACATATCTAATCACTGCACTGGCTACGAATCATACATACTTACGATCAATCCAATCTCATAACAACTCGATTCTGGCACCACAACATCAATTATCCTAGCTGCAGACGGGGATTCGACATCCTCTCGCGATCCGGCACAAGGAAATCAGACGTTTCGAAACGCCTATCGCTTGATCGTCTGGAGGCGGGACGAACCTTAGCAAGTTCACCTTACCCAAGGTTTGGACTGGGTGGGCTGCTACCATACAAAAGTTTCCCCATTGTTCTCTCCTGCCTAAGCAGGAGTCGAAAACTATCTGGCGATCATCCATACCCTATTCCGAAGATGGCACGAATTCCGCGGTTCTCGGTATCGTGGGCGCCTATGTTTGTCTGCCTCATTGCGCTCTTCAGTACATTAGTTGCTTCGGCGACGGTAGGAGACCTGGATACGATACAAGGGACCAACGGCAAGGGAGAGACGAAGATGTTGCTAGTCGACAGATATCCAGCCCTTTACAGTGGGGACTTCGGAGACTGTATGGGAGGACAGAGCTTGATTAACCTTACGTCTTTCGACGGAGCCTATTACGCTGATAATATGACCGTGCTGTTCAACCTCGCAGGAACAACCAATCTGCGAGACGAATCCTTGATGCGTAAGCCGCCCAGCGCTTGTTTTGTTTTCAGAAGCCTGACTAATCTATACTTTAGTATACATATCCGTGTATGCCTGTAAGTTAGCCAATTGGTGTTCCCAATGGGAAATAAACTACTGATTTTGTATGCAGATGGAGAGAATAGGTTCAGCATGATCTTCAACCCCTGCAATGCAAACTTTTATAGGTCAGTACCTCTTCGACTTTGGCAGACCCTTTCGATAAAGCTTCTAACATACACAGTTTATGTCCTTTGAATGCCAGTGTTCCAATTGCTGGTGGAGCTGTCATTCCCGTATCAGCAAACGACGTCGCGGCCATTCCTGATATTGCATTAGGTATTCCTGACTTCGAAGGAACCTTGCAGCTAAGCTTCTTTTCCAACTCTTCGCAGACTGAGATAGCATGCTTCTCGGCCGTCATGAGAAATGGAGCGAGCTTTTCCCATCCTGTAGCAGTGGGTACTGTCCTCGGGATTTTCACTGTTGTTGCTCTTTTCGCATCTTTCGCGACGGCAGTCTACGGAGTCAGCGTACCTCACATTCGAACCCATTACGCCCATTCCCTGTCCGTACTTGTGATTTTCGAAGTCTTCCAGTCAATCCTTTTCTCTGGCGCCTTGTCCTTAAACTGGCCTAGTGTATTGCCTGCTTTCTGGAGCAATTTTGCTTGGTCAGCTGGCATGATCTCCACTTCGTCCATGGTCAAGTCTATCAACGGCTTTGCTGGAGTATCAGGGAACTCAAGCCAGGTTGGTGGTGCTGGATCTACCGTCTTGAATAACAACGGTGGACTTCAGCAGCAGATTTATGGACGTTCAATAGAGGCTCTGGCCCGAGACAGCGAGGAAGCTACTAGTCATCTGTACAGACGTGCCGTCAATGAGACCCAAGGAGCTAGACTTTTCGATTGGGCTGGCCTTCCTGTTTCTCCTGGATTACCCACGCCCGGGAACTGGTCTGGGTTTGCTGGTACGCTCCAATTTGTCGAGGTTCCGGCAGCGGATGCCTTCATGATCGGATTCCTTTGGCTGCTGATCCTCATTGCGATTTTGATTGGGGCCACGATGCTTTTCAAATGGTCTCTCGAAGGACTAAGCTCTATGAAATTGATCAAGCGGGACCGCTTTCTGCTTTTCCGCGATCACTGGCTCGGCTTCGTCGGTCTCATCGTCCTTCGAACGATGTTTATTGCGTTCTTCATGATGATGACCCTGACCTTGTTTCAGTTTTCTTCCAGTGGAAAAGCAGGTCCAGTTGCAATTGCAGTCATCGTATTTCTCATATTCTTCGTCGGAGCTTTGGGAGTCTCAGCCTACGCCTGCTTCTATAGGGTCCGATTCGGAAAATACGAGTCTTCTCCTGATCGGATCCACTTCCAGCCAAAGAAGGTCATGAGGTTTGTTCCATGGTACAAAGCCGTTCGAGAAAGCTCGTTGGACGAAGAGGAGAAGGCAAACACCGCTGGGTCTGTTTCGTTCTTCCAGATCAAGTTCATCGATAATGACGAGGCAGAACAAAGCGTTCATCAGAATGTAAAATTCACCACACGCTTTGGCTGGCTTTCTGCTCGATATCGTCGCACAAGATGGTGGTTCTTCGCATTCTGGGTTATCTATCAGTTCATCCGGGCTTGCTTCGTTGGTGGCGCGCGCCACAATCCCAAGTCACAAGTCATCGGTCTTTTCGTGTGGGAAATATTCTCCTTCGTGGCCATTGCCTGGATCAATCCGTTCGAGGGTGCACGGAATACGGCTCTAGCAGTGTGGATGCTTGGGGTCAGTAAAGTCGCGACTGCTGGTCTTTCAATTGCGTTTCTTCCTCAACTCAACCTCGCACGAATCCCCACTACCATTATTGGCGTCCTTATTATCGTCATACAAGGATTCCTCGTTATTGGTCTACTGGTCTTGATCGTCCTCGGAGCTATTTCCAGCTACATGTCTCTTACTCGTAATCGCGAGAGCGAAAACTTCAGACCTCGTGGTTTACGAAAGATTCGGATGAAGTATTTTGGACATCTGGAGAACAAGGAGAAGGACGTTCCCCCTCCTCCACCGCCCGAGCCCGAGGAGCCAAGAGAACCTTACTTCAACGTCAACAGCGTCCGTCGCGCTCCAAAGATCGAAGATGAGGACTTAGACTTCGTCCCCGGCACGAACGGTCTGAATTCCATGGCTTCCGCATCCTCGTTGGCTGGCCCGCGAGGAAGCAGAGCCAACAGTGTGGCAAATAGTGTGGCAGGCAGCATGCGAAGTCAATACGGCAATGTTCCTTATGGGGCCAGGGTACACAGAGCAAGCTGGAGTTCTCGCGACTTTCAGAATTGGCGTGATGATGGTACAAGAGCAGGCTCGCCGCTCACGATCCCCTTGAGAAACGTGAGCGGTCAACACGCAGCAGACAACTCAATATCACCCGCACCGCTGGCTCGACCTGCTGCTTCGCACAGCAACTTGCGACATTCAACCCCGACGAGAGATCATCAAAGGCAATTCTCAAATTAACGTGTCGCATCCGCTAAACAAAGACACATTTTGATGTGGTTACGACTTTACGAATTAGAGATGCGATAAGGGAGGAAAAGTAGAAGGGTTGTAATGTGAGGAGAACCGTTTCTTGCAAAGCCTAGGCGTTATTATCCAGCCAGTTCCATATGGAGTTCGGTCAGCCTCGACAGCAGCCGTTGAACTGGGGTTCCGCTCGGCGAGCAATCGCATTTGCATTCGGACGCGGCTTGGGGCTTGCAAGTATAGCACGGCTCCGATGGTAACTAATTGAGCAAACTTCCAGGTCGATGGCACGGTATGGCGTTGTGGCAAAGGCGTTCGGGCAAGATCTGCGGGCAGACAGACATTGGGGGGTTGGCCGAGATGTATACAGTACCAGTGATTCCCGGATGCCCTCCTCTCCCTATACCAATTTCAGGCAATTTCATGGTTCTTTTTTTTTCTCTTCTTGTTCGCTGAATATTGTTGCTGTGGTTTATACTATATCCTGTCCGTCGTCGCCTTGGAGTTGTAAGTGATGAACGACATGGGCGCTACCGAGCAGAAGCGAGAAGTGAGCGTGACGTGAGCGTGACCGTAAACGTGACCGGACCGTGATCCACTCGTCGTGAATACTGTAGTTCCCATCTTCTTCCATATAATTACCTCTTGATCTCTTCACTCGTACACAATTCGTTCCTTTACTGTTTTCCTGGTGTTTTCGTTTTTCCCCTTCCTCTTTCTCTTCCTCTTCCTCTTCGTCTCCTTCTTGATCTCCTTCTCTTGTTCCTTCCTAGAATTCCTTGCCGTTTTCTAGGAGAGTCGGAGGCCATCTCATCCTAAGCACATCCATCCATTCATTGTACGCGACGGAGAGTCAAGATGTTCTACAGCCACGAAAGTAAGTCCCCTCCACTCCGTCTATCTTACATACAAGTGGGCATAGCTTACTTACTATTGCCCTGTTCACCAGTCCTCACCAGTCGCAAGTATGGTGTTGCAACCGTCTGGTACGTACCTCCTATCTTGTTCTTCTCATCTCAACGCGTCCCTTGGTCTGCGCACCGCTTAGTTCCCTCATCTCTTGCGCCTCGACAGGTCCCTAGTAACCGGTACCTGAGCTGACAGTATAGGTTGGTTGCCACCCTCGGCGCAAAGTCAAACACGAAGAAAGTCTCGAAGAAGGCCATCCTCGACGTCGACGTCAAGAAGGCATGTAAGACCATCATGGAGCCAGAAGCACCAATGGCATTGAGACTTCAAAGCAATCTTCTGTAGGTCTCTCCCCCTGCGCCGGTGATCTCCCACTGACAGATCACAGCTACGGTGTCTCCAGAGTCTACAATCAGCAATGGGAATACCTCCTCGTAGACGCGCAATCTGCCCAGAACATGGTCCGAACTCTGTTTAAAACTGCGCGCAATAACGATCTTGATGTCAGTGCTGGAAAGTCCCAGTAAGTTGCCGTCCGCGCGAGAAAGTGCGAAACTGACGCGTCGCAGCCCTGACCTGCTCATTATGATGGACGATCCGGCTTTTGCCATCGATATGCCGGCGCCCCTGCCCGACTTCGACTTCGCGAACATGGATCTCAACCCCAAGGGGGACTCACAGCGCTCGTCTCAGTCCATGCTATCCATCCGCGGTCGAAGTGGCTCTGTCGTCTCCCACACCTCTTCAGTTCTCGGTCTCAATATTCCTTCAAGCAACGGCGGATCATACCAACTCCCAATGCTCGATCCTTTCGGTGGCTCTTCTATACAGAAGCCATTCGGTGCCGGTCCGGGTATATTCAACGATGAGGAGGACATGGCCTTTCAAGACGAGGAACTCTTCGAGTTTGGTGCTGATGGTGAATTTCGCGAGATCCCGGCAAGTGAGCATGATGCACGTCGTCGTGCTGGTAGCGCTAAGCCACAGTACCGCCCGGGGAGTGGTTCTGCTGCAAGTGGACGCGTCCGGAAGGAACACGAGGATGCTCTCGCTGGTATTGCTGGCCGCGCACTTGACTTCGATGGCGATTATGATATGCCTGTCTATGGCGACGAAGACTTGCCAATGTTCCCGGGAGCTGACCCATTCCCTGTCATGACTGGTGCTCTAGGTAGTAGCGATCTTCCTCTGCATCTGTCTGATGAGGATTGCGTTTTCGATGCCTCTCAAGACTCCTCAGTTTCTGCCGAAGCTCAGATGACGAAGAAGAAGGCAAAAAAAGTCAAGACTATCAAGGCTGATCAAGCTTCAATATTGAAAACCGTTGAGATCGCACGGTGGCAAAAAGAGTATGTTCAGAATATGGAAGTGGGTAACAATGCCAGAGTCAAGCAGCAGGCCACGCTCCACGCAAAGAAGAACGCCTTTCACTACGTTTGCGGCTCTGGTATCAGTGGTGTTGGAGAAGGCATTGGATCTTCAAAATTCGCCAGCCCGCTTGCTATGTTCTCTGGAAATGCATTCTTGGCCAAAATCACTGGCAAGCCAATTGTTGAGCCGGAGTCAAAGAAGCGTTCAGCACCCGTATCACCTGACGGGGACGATATACCCAACAAGAGAGCCAGAGAAGGTGAGATTGGCCGTGGTGAATACGAGGACGACAATAATCTCAACATGGACGACGATCAATACCGCGACAATAGCGTCGAGATAGGCCGAGAAGCCCAAAGTGCCTTGACCGATCACCCGCCTTCCGCTATGCCATGGAACATGTCTTCGTCCCTCCACTCCCTGCAGCGTGGTCAATCTTCTTCCATCCAAGGTCGTATCGGTCTTCTGGGCTCTCAACGTGGTTCCATCAAGGATCGTCGACTCACCTCGCCCCTCATCGGTCGTGGCTCTAACGTCCCTGGCGAGCTGGACCACTTCTCTCAAATGATGAACGACGAAGACATGGTCATGTACGGCCGCTCCGACGATGGGCTAGGAATGTCCAGCCAAATATCTGCTCTTGCCCCAAGATTTGGCACTTCAAGCCAAGCAGGTGCCGGAGACGACTTTGAGATTTTCGGCGCCGCTGCCGACGTCGACACCCAAACTGCTGGCTCTTCGCAGTGGATGAAGGATGTCATGGACCGGGAGAGCAACAATTTCTTCGAGTATGTCAAGAACACCATCGAGGAGAAGTCCGGCGACGAGCTTGGTGATGAGGATGTCGAGGTCGAGAGCAAGACGGTGACTTTCGAGGAGCTGTTCGCGACGGCGTCTAATTCCAGCGTCGTTGCCGCGCAGGCTTTCTACCATGTGTTGAGTCTTGCGACCAAGAGACGTGTGTGGGTTGAGCAGGATGTCGATGCGGAGCTGCTGGAGCCGTTTGGAGAGATCCGAATTGGTGTACTAGCTTGAGAGTGTGCGTTTTATGGACGATCTAATGTTCGAGTATTATGAGTCTGGAAGAGGGATGCATGCATTTGCTAGCTATACATATTGCTTGGATCTGTGGGCTGTTACTATGATGACGATTGATGATGGATGGATACGATACCCAATTGCTACAAATCTAAGGGCCTGCTCTTGTTTCTGGAGATACCCTTTTGCTATAAACAACTTGCTAAGCTGAATACACACATACGTTGTACTACTGAATTATCAAACTGCGACTTGAATAGATCCCTGTCCGTGACTATAGCAACTGGGTAGGGGGCGGGGGGGATATCTGAAATCTTCCACATTGTGAGTCTCAAAAGAAAAACCCACATCCGCCCGCTCTCATCCACACAACCAACTAACCATATTCTCAAACCTCGTACCTCATTCCTCCCTCACTCAAGAACTTCGCACCAAATTCAACAAATTCCGTAGAGATTACCCACCAACACGCCTCCTATTACTCAACAACAAAGAAACCAAACTTTGAGAATGAGCCGGCCTCCGTGTATGCCTTCTATCTCGCATACCATACGGAATATACCATATACCTGATTGATAGCAGGACTTGACCTCGCAGCTTTTAGGCCCCTTCCCTTCTTTACAGTGGGCGAGAGGGCGAGGGGGCGAAAGAAAGGGCGAAAGAAAGCAATGATGTGTCCCGAGAAAAAGCATTACTGATGTTTCTCGTGGAAGAACAAGAATAAGAACAAACAAAAACAGTCAAGACGGAAAGAAGAAGAAGAAGGAAAGAAGTAGGGTTGGGTAGGTAGGTAGGTAGGTAGGAAGGTAGTAAGTAGGGTTACAGTGGAGCGGACCCATCGTCTCCCCCAGCTAGCTTGCTTTTGCCTGCCTACCAAACCGCAGTACCTGGCCGATTCGAGCAAGCTTTTTTTTTTTTTTTTCAATTATATCATATACCTTACGCACAAAGGGAGGCCGCGCACGTACGTACGTACTTACTGGCGGAGAATGAGTTCACTTATTAGTAACACGGGAAAAGAAAAAAGACTCATGTCTTAATGTTAACTCTCATCAGCCAATCCATTTGTTCATCCATTCTTCACCGTGCTCTCCTTTCTCTCTCTCTCTCTCTCTCTTTCCCCCACTCTCTCGATCATGTATACAACACGAGATCTTTGCGGCAAAGCCATCCCTTATTCAGTCACCCCTCCCTGCCTCCCTTCGTCGAAAACCAATCTCAACTCATCGCTCGTCATGCATACCCTTCCGCCAAGAGAAACAAAAGAGAAAGAGGTCGTAAGAGGTGTGTCATGTATCTTTCCTTTCGCCCACGAGCACAATCTAATCCACCCAAAACGAAGCCGTAAACGTTCCAAATGTATGCATCAATCATCAAAGTCATCCATCGTCGCCTCACCCTCTCGTCTCTTGTCCCCCAAGCCCCGTACTTAAAAGAGAAAAAGCGGAGAGTGTGTAGAGGCTTTCAGATTTTTGATAGCCATCCACGGGAACACTGGAGAAGGAAACAGCGACCTGCTTCCCACTCCAAAGATCATGCTCTCGAAGGCCAGTACTGTACGCACTGGATTCGTGACCATGACAGCAGGCCAGCCTACTCTGGAGTCGCAGCCTGCCCAACCAGCGGTGCCGCATGCAGAGCCGGCTTTGCGCTCTCGCCCATCAGTCCATTCTTCTTGCGCTCCATGGCATTCTTGACCCACTCCGCCACCTCCTCGTCTTCGGTGCCTCTACCAGCGCCCATTTCCTTCTTCGGGGCCTCGCTGCCGGAGACGGGAGACGCGGGTTCTTGGTCTTCGTCTTCTTCGGAGATGGTAAGCGGTTTAGAGAGGCCGGCAAGCCAGGGGTGGGCGAGCAGCATGGAGTACGTGGGCCGGAGCTTGGGAACCTTGTGCAGGCAGCCACGAACGAAGTCGCGGGCCATGGCGGAGTAACCTTCCTCTGGGAGACCGGGGGGCTCGCCATCTACGATTGCCTGTGGGATTGTTAGAACTTGATACGCAATTCAAAGTAGGGAGGCTTACGCTTAATTGCGAGAAGATGTTGTTGTATGTCTCAGGTGGGTAAGGATATCTTCCAATCGCACACTCGATGACACTCAACCCCAAACTCCAGATATCACTTTGAACGCTGTAAGTGCCGCCAGGGGCTCCCGACGCACTCATCCCACCGCCAGAGATCCGCTCGGGAGCCATGTAAGACTGGCAGCCAATATTCGTCTTGGCAATACTGGCAACCAGGTTTCCACTCACACCGAAATCGCAAATCTTGACTTGACCTCTTGTGTTGACCAGGATATTGGTGGGCTTCACATCTCGGTGGATAATGTTGTGGTCCTCCTTCAGTGTTCTCAACCCCTGAGTCGTGGCATATGTGATCTTCCTTAGGACCCCCTCTGGAATACCATCTCCGTAGATCTTGTCAATAGAGCCGCCGTCCATGAATTCGATGCAGATGTAGACTGCACCTTCTTGGAAGAAAGCTCCGTAGAAGTCGATGATGTAAGGACTTAGACATCTGTGAAGAATGTCAAGCTCCATAATGATGTTTGCAAACTTGGCCTCATCAAGCTCCAGCCTGATCTCCTTCATAGCCATAACAACTCCAGTGGTCGAGCCCATGTCCTGGGGCGAAATCTCCGAGGGCATGTCCTTCAGGGAGGCTGTTGACATGGAGGAGGGAAACTTATTACCCGCCAATCCGAGTCCGGGTCTACGCATCCGAGGTCTCGAATGACGAACTTTGTAGACCGTCCCGTAGTTTCCCTTGCCCAGCTCTTCCAATGTATCCACCTCGTCCAGCGAGATCTTGAAGGTATTGCCGGAACTGAAATCAATACCATCACGACCAATGATTGCCTTGCCCTTGAACTTCAAAGTCCCATTCTTGGTGTCGAGAAACTCCGTGAAGTTGTCGAACGCAGTCCCGGTCCCGCGGGATGGAACGCCTGAGTCGCCATTGATATTGGGTGTACTTGGGGTGTCTGTCCCTGCACCCGGTAATCCTCCTGGTAGTTTCATACCTCGTCGTGCGCTCAACCCGCCACCCTTCGCAGGCATCTTCGGGACTGCGGGAGCGGAGTTGAAGTTATGGGCTACTGGACGCATGCTCGGTGGCATCTGTAAGCCGCCAGGCAAGCCTGCAAAAGCTGGTCCGCCGCCGAACCTAGGTTTTTCGGGTACGGGTCCTGGGCCGGCAGACAGTGAGGGTCCACCAACGCCTGGGCGAGTCGGTGGCGCGCCTTGTCTTGTGAGGTGGAATGCCTTCATCTTCTGCTCTATGCTTTGTGCCATCGGCATCTGTCCAGTCCGCGCACTCGACATGCTCGCTGCAGCGGGTGGTTTTCGCGCGTTGTTGAGGAGGCCGAGGGGTGTCGAGGAAGCAGTCATCGAAGTGGTTCCTTGAGGGCCGAGGGCGGGTCGCAGTGAGGGGAGACGAGGGCCATTTGGGGTTTCTTTGGTCGGGCTTGGTAACGGCGATTCATCCTCATCGTCGGTAGAGCCTGGCGATTGTGGGTTTGCGAAATCAATAGCCTCGATGGAGTCCTCGAAAGGGATTTGCGCGGGGGCTGGCGGGGTAGCCATGGTTGTTGCAGAATGCTCCGTAGCTATCTGTCTATCTCGATGACATGAGCAACGAACGATGGGAATTGTCCAGACTATGTGGCCTCGATGGCGGGAATGGAGAGGTTTCGAGGTATCTGATCGGGGGAGGGCACATGGTCAGCAAGGCAGTGCAGGGTCCGCGCGGAGTGGGAGTGGGAGTGAGGTCCTGAAAATTCGACTGACCAACTTTGTTGTCAAAATGCCGCCGCAAGCTTCGGGTCAGGCAGGCCGGATTGGGAGAGGAGGGGAGTTTCTAGGGTTTCTAGAGTTTCTAGAGTTTCTAGAGTTTCTAGGTTTTCTAGGGTTTCTAGGGTTTCTTCTGTAGAGTTTCCTCGAGTGCAGTGCGGTGCGGTGCGGTGGGTGGGTAATGGGTAGGTAGTTGGATAGTTGGAAGTCGGCAGAGAAGTAAGTAGAGGGGCGACTGGATCGACTACCTACCCTCTCGGGACGGCGTCAGTAATGCGAGTGGGGTGAAGGGGTTTTGCCCAAAGCCAAGTAAATCAGTCGCGTCGAGTCGAGTTGAGTCGAGTCGAGTCCGGTCGAGTCGAGTCCGGTCGAGTCGAGTCGGGTCGGGTCGAGTCGAGTCCGAGCCTGACGAAAAGTGAAAATAAGAATTGTACTGCAACTACGGTATGTTTCTTACAATGTTCAAATTAAGTACTTGAACGGTACGAGAACTGTACCAGTCGACGGCGGACAGTTGGTTGTGCCGTCAGTACTTGATCGGTAACAAGTGCATCCGGCCGATACGATGGAAGAAAGACTCAAGAGTGAGGATACAGAGTCTGTATTGAATTTCTAGGTAAGGTAGTAGGTAGTCAGTCTCTATAGTCTCTCCTCGCCATGTTTCCGAACGGGCCCGCCAAAGCCACATTCGATATCCTTCGTCGGGTACCGGTACTTGTGTTATTATTATTATTATCATTACTACTACTACTACTACTACTACTACTACTACTACTACTACTACTACTACTACTACTACTACTACTACTACTACTTGCTACCTGTATACAGTACTGTCGACCTCACAGTCACCCCCACTCACCCACGAGTCAAGTCCGGTCCATCAATTCGCCCGTTCACCGGCATCTGCACGATTGACTTTGATTTTCAGAGTTCGTGGTCAAGCTTCTCTCTTTCTGCATGGAGACTGGTCGCCGGTCGGAATAATATACTCTGTACGGACTAACCAGCCCGAGCATACGGAGATACCATACCTACAGGAGAGGCATTTCGCTGCCGAATCAGCTCACTGAGTTATCCTAAATATGAAGTCGACGCCACAGCCAAGAGCTTAGTTAAGATGGACGGACGGCTTCAAGAGACAACGATCACTGACCTATCGAGTTGCGTATCTTCTCTTCTACTTCGTATATTGTACGTATTGAGCGTTTTGTGGATCATCGAGGAATACCAAAAACTTGATTCAGCGCTGAGTAATGAGAAAAGGAGGAATCTTCTACCTATCTTACAGGCCGGATTTGCACACTTGCAATCGAAAACCACCTTTTGCGGTTGAAAACCACGATTATGGACTCTTCTTTTCTCGAATACCTGATTGATGGCTAGTTAATAACTAATTAATAATAGGGAGGGACATGCTCGAGAAACTGCTGGCTGCATCGCGCTAAAGGAGGCTGAAAGGGGGCTATTGCTATGGATTCAAAGCTCGAAGGATAGCTGATTGCATTGCACCTCAAAGAGCTACTATTAAGAGTACGTCCGGGCTGAAGTTCAAGATAATTTGCATCCTTTACACATAATTTTACAATGCATATTTTTTATACCTAGGAAATTGATGTAGCGATATGTCAACAGCCTTTATACGCGACCGTTGCGGAGCAAGGTCCTCAGGCCCCAAGAGCGCAGCGGATGGCCGCCCCGGGAATAGACCTCGCTTATAAGCAAGAGTTGCCTATTTCGAGATACGGATACTCCACACGGCCTAGTCTATCTTTGGCTCGACTGTCAGAGCAAAGGATGGTATCGTACGTAGTAAATTGCTACTTTAGATTGTAATTGTGTATTCAGACTTTCAACACGAAAGCCTCTCTAATTCGCTAAATATAGCTATGGATTGCATTAAAATTATCATGATCGCGCATGATTTTTTATATATAGATACTCGCCAAAAACAAAGCCAAAGCTTTCTATTCCGAATTTAGTTAGGATAATTAAACAAGTTAACTGACCTTGCGAAATCCACTTTCGAGATTTAACTCATTTAACTAAGAATGGGGCTCACTCAGTAATTACGCATAATGAATTCCCTCGGTAGCGAAATCCCTCTGATGCAATGGGTACCAAAATACTCTACAAGGCCTCATGTAATAAATTCCTTGGGGGCTTGGATTCCTATTACCCTATTATAGACGTTTCTATTTCTGACCCTCGGGAGCTGTAATTGTAACGTCCTAGGAATAAAAGTTGTAATTAGACCCTGTGGTATTTGGCCTGTGAAGAAGTATATAAGTCCATTTCCACCTGGTCTCATCAAATCATCACAGTCATCACTCACACTCGTTTTCAAGACATCTTCACACACTCGTTTACAGGATCAACTCACACACTCGTTTACAAGACATCGTCACACACACACTCGTTTCAAGACCTACACACACACTCGTTTTCAAGACTTGATCTTCACCTTAAAGCTTAAAGCTAATCGTATTACCGTGAACATGCAGTTCAATCTTTCAACACTCGCCGTCCTCACTGTGGCGATGGTGGCCGTCAACACATCACCTCTTCCTGCTCAAAGCCGATCGGTTCAGAAACGCGCAGAGGGCTTTCCAACATGGGGCTCGGAGAGAATTGAACCTCGCCAAGGACGCGAAGATGACAGGGACGCGCGCGGCCCCACCGGCTTCCGCAACAACCAAGACGAGCAAGAGGGGGAAGAGAGACTCTCACAGACCGAGGGTGAGGATGAGAGACCTTCCCGGG